GATGGATGGATGAATGGGTGGATGAATAGATACAGTAAATACATGGATGGATGGATGGATATGTGATGGATGGATGGATGATGGATGGATGGATGAATGGATGGGTGGATGGGTGGATGGATGGATGGTCGTTAGACAGATCTGTTGTTAAACTAAAAGAAGACAGTGATGCTATGCTGCGCTTCACTAATATAATAAGTCCATATTTGGCGTGTGATGATGTCATCTACAAAGCGATGATGTCACCAAATCAAAATGTTGCTCTTTACATCCTACTACACCATTTTGGGGTAAATAACTGAGCATTAGTGCGAAGTGAAGTCACTTACAGGTAGAAGACGGAGCTGGATCGTTGGATGGAACGTCTTCTGAGGTCAGGGGTCGGGGGTCGGGGGTCAGGGGTCACGTACATCTCCCCTCCACTGGGTTTGACTGTCTCCAGGCCACGGTCCTTATTGATAACTAGATGGTAGAGACAGAGACACAGAGAGTCAGGAGTCGTCGTCTATAAATAGTCCCCAGTTCCACGTCGTGTTTAGGGACAGATTCCTGATGCAACCAGCTGTAACCGCTACAACGGACGTGGGCCCAGTTTGGTCATAAACCATCGCTGGTTAATGGCGGCGAGATACCATGCAGAGAAGCCACTCTCTTGTCAGTATTCAAGGGCAAATTTCCCCGGAGGACCATCAAAACGCAGCGCGGGACGACAGATGGAGGGAGCTGCGCTTCTGCAAGTTTGGCGCCGCGTCAGGATTCCGTGTTTAGGATAAAATACTGGAGGCTAGTCAAGAGGGAAGACTGTGCTTTTGGAGTGTGTGTGTGTGTGTGTGTGTGTGTGTGTGTTAGGAAGTGAGATCTGAGCAGTCGTTTCTGATGTTGCTGTGAACTGATGTGAGGTGGAACCATAATGGGACCTGAGGATTATCTCCTGTTTCAGTCCACTGATTAGTAAATAGGTTTTTTTTTTTTTTTTTTTTTTTTAGTTTTTAATCAAATTCAAATTTATCACCGCACAGGAATAACAATGGAATAGTTAATGGATTTGAAGGCTGCGCTTGTCGTTACTTTGGATTTAACAAAGGAGCAAATTAATATGAGTGGGAGGCGAAAATTAGAAAATTAGAATCTTTGACACTTGGAAACTTTACCCTGAGTTTCACGGCCACGACTTCTGGCAGGTTCCAGCAGCAGCGACAACACGCAAACAACAACCGTCACAGCTACACTCCTCCCCGAAAATAATCTGACATTGTGTTAGAAAAAAAAAAAAAAAAATCACCCTCTCTCTGTTACTAGTCCACGTCAATGACACTTTCCTGATTCAGATGAAAAATCTACTCCTGGTTTTAATCAATGAATCAGATGAAAAATCTACTCCTGGTTTTATTGAGAAAAAAACCTCCAAATGATCTGATCTTTAACACATTGTTTCCAGTAGGGGGCGGCATTAAACACCAGTCGGACACGTAGTTAGCAAATAAATCTGGATTAATCAAACAAGGATATTACCCACAGGAGTTGATCTGAGCCAGAAACAGCCGTGAGTAAATAAATATCAGGGCCGTCTTGGTCAGGAATCTCTCCTGACGCGAAAATACTCAAATATTTGCTCACATGTGCTGAATATCAATTTAGAGCCGGGTCCAACTGCTCAGCGGTGGCCAAGACCACCATTTTTGGGGGAGAGTATTTGCAGGTGAACTCGCATTAGTTTTGTGGAGACGAGGGACACGGAGATGGAGATGTGGAGATGGTGGTCCGTCTCCGTCACCTCCCCCCCGATGATGGTGTTGTGACTGAGGTTTTAGGGCCACGACGACGGCAGAAGTGACAGAAATAAGTCGGGTTGATGGAGGGACGGCGGAGAGAGAGAGAGAGAGAGAGAGACATCAGGGTGGCTGCTCCGTGAATAGACCTCCGCAGCTGCCCCGTCTGCTCACTCAATAACACACACACACACACACACGTGGCATTTGCATACATTTGCATGTTCGTAGACAGATTTCCAAATCAACATATCCGTCCCCGGGAACAGTGACACACACACGCTCCCACCAACCCCCGGCCCCCCCCCCCCCGTCGTCACGCTCTGCCCCCTCCAGGCCACAGACTGATGAGCACATTATGGAAACCATTAGACCCCTGTGTTTAAGCCGGTGTTTACAGTCGAGTGTCGGTGAGAGGTCAGTCAGAGGTCAGCCAGAGGTCAGTCAGAGGTCAGTCAGAGGTCACTTGGTCTGATGATGTCCAGTACAGTGTGATGTATGAATCTGATCGACCTGTCAGCTGTGAAAAACCAGCTGAAAAAAAAAAAAAAAAAAAACCTCAGCAGCCGGCGTTTGAACAGACACACGGACGTTCAGTGATTTCATTCTTATCAGACTTTTTTCTTTTTTTTTTTAAACCCCCACAAACCAAAGCTAATTAAACCAAATCCCCTCATGACCCAACAGTTTTTTTTTATCACTGACCAAAAACGAGACAAAGAAACACAAAGGCCTTGATCCACGACACAGAAACTCCCTGAGTTAATTATTATTACGTGTCACGCAATCGTTTCCACCGACCAATAGTTGGTCAGAGTCTGGGCTAATTTCTATTATTTTTCTGAAAAGCTAGCGTTACAAACGTCACAGATTTTATAGACAAATGTTTCATTGTTTTATTCCACTTCAATGCAAAATAAAAAAATCACTGTTTTTTTTCATTATCTAATTATCAGTTGTATATAATTAGATCAACAGTGAGGCGTTATCTGCGTCAGGAATTCGGGCTGATGACCAGTTGAAGCCTGTTTTTTTTTTTTTTTTTTTTTTTCCTAAGCTGTGGAAACCTCCAGGTTAACAATTCCATTAAATTCCTAAATTTAATCCACAAATGCGTCGGAATCCTCCAGTAAAACCAGTGAAGTGAAACCTCCTCCCTCCGTCCTGAACACACATGACAAATGATGGACTTTCAGCCGTGTGGGAACCAGGCAGGAAACAGAACC